GACAGCAGGGAAACGCCCACCTGTAAGTGCTGAGTCCCCCGAGCGAGTGTCTCACCTGAGCACGCCTGAGGTTATTAAACCCGTAAAACCTGGCTGTGCCACCCTGCCAGCGCAGGCACAGTGTTTGACTTTATTCTGATCTTCCAGACAACCCCCGCTCTCCTGTGCTCCAGCCACCTGCCAATTCCCCGCCCCTGGAACAGCAAAACAGGTCCCCCGGGCAGGATTTTGGGGCATAGATTGTCCCACAGTCCCTCGGGGTAATGAATTTGAAGTCCTGTCTTCCCAGCGATCCCGCTAATTCCCAAGCAGAGCCGGTGCCTGAGGGCGGAGGCACTGGCAGCAGATCCGCGGGATCATGGCGTGGTTCTCTGCCGCTCTGGGCTGTCTGCTGGGACAGTGTCTCCTCGGCCCAGGGAGCGTTCCTAACTGTCCTGGAGGCTCCCCCACCTGAGATGGAAAAGCACGTGGAAATTCCTCTGGCATGCGGTGATCTGGGATCCTCCCTTCCCTCTGCCCCAGGCCAGGGGATGAGGAAACGCACATGGGAAAAATCCGTGTGTCAGATGGAAAACAGAAAAACCGGGAGGGATTTTTATTGGCAAACAAAGGAAGATAGAAATAATCTGTGTGAGGCAGAAGAGTCACCTGGGGCGGGGAGACTGCCCTGGGGAGCAGGGTGGGAGCGGGACACGCTTGGAATGCCGTGGAGGGTGCTCGGAAGGATGCGAGGAGCGGTGCTGACAGCTGCTTCCTGCGCTGAGGGGAGGTGACCGAGTGCCATGCTCTGGGTCAAATGCTTTTCCACGTGGAATATTCATGGACAAAGTGGCTTTGCTCTCTCTCTCTCTGTCACAAGATGCAGGAGGAGGTGCCACACCAAGAGTGAGACCAGCCACACTCACAGCCCTTCAGACACTGCCTTTGCTCTCCTGGCCAGAAAATTCCGTGTTTTTCAGGGAGCTCGGTAACTTCTGCCCCTGTGATCCACGTGGCTCCAGCTAGATGTGCCAGACACTTCAGCAGATCCTGTTGGCCCTGCACAAGGTTTAGGATTTTGAGTAATTTCATTCATTTTTGCACAAAGGTTAGGAAAGAGAGTCCTGGAGTTGTCTCCCAAGGGAAGCAAAACAAGACACCAGGACAAAGCCACTTGAGAGCCACCTGCCTTCTCCAAGCCAGATTTCACTTGGGAAAACTCCCTTTTCTGCCTCCTTTCCGTGTCCCTCTGGGCTGCCCTCTCCTCCTCCAATGCCCTCCTGGTGAAGGTGTAGCCCCTTGGGGTGTTCAGGAGATCCCCTCCCATCCTATCAGACAAATTTGCTTCCCGTGAGATCCACAAAGCCTCTGCAGTTCGTGGGAGGGTTTGGACAGGGTGGTGACATGACAGATGTCACAAGAGCAGTGTTCCCCCCAGCAGAGCTGGAGAAGGTGACAATTCCTGACATGGTTCTGGAGCTGGGGAGGGCACAGCGTTGGCACCCTGATCCAGGCTTCCCTCCCACACCACTTCAGGGTCTGCCTCAGCCAACGGTGTGTTAACAGCACCCAGATTAGAAAACAAGCCTGGAATGGTGAATTCCAGAGTAAATACAAAAATGAACCCACTGGTTTGCTGCCTTGAATAATCTCCAATAGATGAAGAGGTAGCAGTGATGATGGAAGCAGGACCAGGAATGCCAGTGGCCTCACTACCCAGTTTCACTGACTCCTCCTGTGGTGTCATCATCAATTTTTCAGGAAAAGTTTCAGAGTTCCACGTGCCAAACAAAACACTGGGCAGGAAGGCACAAATTGCAGCTGTGCTTGTGCATTTGAGCCTCCCCTCACTGATTTATGGCTTTTGATGAAGTGATTACAGATGAAAGAAAATATTCCAGGGAACAGGATCTGCATGTTGCCGTGGTCTCGTGCCTGTCACATCCTTCTGGGGGAGTTACAGCAGGAAACAGAACAGGAAAAGCAGCAGGGTCCTGGTCAGCAGGCTCTGCTCTCACTGTGTGGGAGCACCAGACAGGACAGCAGCTCCCAGAGAAGCCCCTGGATCCCTGGAAGTGTCCAAGGCCAGGTTGGACACTGGGCTTGGAGCCACCTGAAACAGTGGAAGGTGTCCCTGCCATGGCTGGGGGTGGGATGAGAAGAGCTCTAAGTTCCCTTCCAAGACCATTCTGGCCTTAGAAAGGCAGTGGAGAGCCACAGAAAAGCAGGAGCAATGGAACAGGGGACAAGGGAAATGAGGAGGAGGGTCATGAGACTCCTTTGAAAATCCATGGAGAAACCCTCCAGGCATGGGGGATGGAGAGAAGGAAGCACAAAGGCACTTATTAAGAAACACATCAAGTAGATTACAGAAACACTGAACCAATCCGAGCAAAGGTAACTCTTCCCGTTGGAACTGGGTTGGGCAGGGAAGGATCTAGAAGGAAAGACATTGGTTTGGAAAGATGCCAAGAGCTGGGCAGCCTGGGCACAGTGAGGAGCTGGGAACACTTCCATGCCAAAGGAGCCTGGGCTACACACGGAACCAGGGAAACAGCCTTGATGACTGGGAAAAGGTAGACAGAAAGGATCAAAAGAGGCAGCAGCTCAGTATTTAATATTTAATATTAACAGGCTGAGCCGTTAACATTGCAATATCTGGTGATTGTATAGACTTGCCCAAATAGAGAACTTCACCTGAGCTCCCTTTAGGATCCAGAGGGGTTTGTGACCTGCTCAGCCATGAGCCCGCTGCACTCTCCCTGCACACACCTTTAACCTTTAGCCAGTGGTGGTCACAGTTTAGCACTGACAGCACGCCGTTTCTGCCTCCTCAGCAGCTCTTAAACAAACATCCACTGCCCAGCCTTGTACCTGTGCTGCAAGTGCAAGGAAATAAATTCCACAAATGCCAGTTCATAAAGGGAAACCATCGGGTTCATGAGTTACTTGGGTCCCTGAGCTTCTGAACGGCCTCTGACCCTGAACCTGCTCAACCTGGCTGGAGGGAGGAGTGAATTATCCAGCACTTCTCGTCAGGCCTGAATGTGAACTTTACTTTGGAACCTGGGAAAAGTCAGGACCTGAGGATGTGCTGCACCACCACCGGCTTGGTTCAAAGGGCTGTGGGATCACATGTATTTTATATAAACGCAGGAAGAACCAAAAGGAGTGCTGGGCTCCTTCAGCAGGCTTCAGCAGGCTGCTGAAGTGTCTCCAGTGCCATGGGGGTAGCAGGGCGGCTTGGAGCTGGGGGAATGGGGGCTGAAGGGAGCGGGGACTGAGGGGAGCGAGGTTGAGGGGGGAGATCCCGGGACTGAGGAGGTCCCGGGGCTGAGGAGATCCCGGGGCTGAGGGGGATCCCGGGGCTGAGCCGGGAGCGCTCCCGTGGCCGCCTCAGAGGCGACGCTCGCGCGCCGTTTCCCGCCTTTCGTCCCGGCCGCTCCCCATTGGCCCACGCCTGCCGCCGCGCACTCTTATTGGCTGCGCCGGCAGCGCCCCCCTCTGGCTTGCTCCCCATTGGTCCCCGGACAAAACGGAAGCCACACGGGGCGTTGCCATCGCTACGGCGGCCGGCGCGGGACAGGCTGC